CCCTGCTCTGCAAACTGCAAGGTCACATCTCCCCCCCCCCCAGAGAACACTGGGTAATGTAGTTTCCTAACCATTCTCTGTCAGAGGCCCGTATGTCACGGAGTTTTAATTCCCAGGGAAAGAAGGCAAGACCACCAAATTGGTTTACTGCATGGCTCCACGAGCCAAATTGGTTTATTGCACTGCTCCACGAGCATCTTAATTGTTGTAAGCCACCCTGAACCGGTTGGGGGGGAGGGCGGGATAGAAATCAAATTCCACCTCCCTGCAACAGCTTCGGAAGTAGCTAATTTAAACTCGGCCTACATTTGGTCCGCTGTGTACACAGCAAGATCATGAAAATGACTACCACAGAAGGTGAAGCCAGCCACAAAACAGAGCCACGGCGAAGCGCCTTGTGGAGTGGTGGCGGCTGCCGCCAAAGCAACATTTTAAAAAATCCGCTCAGCCACTCCAGTGCCCAATCAGAAGCCTCGCTGGGCAAAAGCCCCACCCACTTTCTGAAAACACTTGGCGGGCGCCAGGAACGAAGAAGAGATTGGATTTATACCCTGCCCTTCACTACCCGAAGGCGTCTCAGAGCGGCTTACAAACTCCTTTCCCTTCCCCTCCCCACCACAGACACCCTGTGAGGCAGGTGGGGCTGAGAGAACTCTGTCGAGAACGGCCCTTGAGAGAACAGCTCAGAGAGAACTTGTGACTGACCCAAGGTCACACCAGCAGCTGCATGTGGAGAGGAGTGGGGAATCATACCCGGTTCTCCAAGATTAGAGTCCGCGCACTTAACCGCGACACCAAAGGTGCCATCGTTGGTGACCCTTGGTCTACAGGTTATGAAGCAATTTGAGACAGAGTGGACACACCACATGGAAAGGTGGGAACACGCTCCCTGCCCCCCCCCTGACCCTAGGCAACCTGACCTGGACATTGCTGGCTTCGGCTCCCCCCCCCGCCCCCGCCGCCGCCACCGTTCCCACGGCAAAGAAGAACCACACGACTGACTGCAAAGTCTTTTCTCAGCCCTGGGAGAAAAAGGGGCTTTGTTCGCTCGCCCGCAGAGACAGCGTGAGAGCCGGAGCCCAGGGCTCTGAGAAGCCGAAAGGACAAACGAGACGGGACAAAAAGAAACCCTCCGGAGAAGAAAGGCTCCAAGCCATGATAAAGAAGGGGCGGCCATTCCCAGCACTCGCGGTAGGCGTCGGGGCTCAAGCCACCTCCGGTTCCAGGGCTGAAGATGCCCAGGGCGCGAAATCGGAACGTTCTGCAGATCTGGAAGCGCCAGACAGAGATTAGGAAAAGAACTCCGGTTTGAAGCTGCAGAGGTCCCGGGACGACCTACGGCGCATCGGCAACAAAACGGTGACTCCAACATCCAACCGGAGCGGCTGGTTCCTTCACAAGGCCAGCCCTGAAAACACTTGCTGGACGTCTTGCTCATAAATTTGCTTCATTTTTACCGAGCTAGAAGGCTCCTGTTTAATTGGGGGTGGGATGAAATTACTGAAAGCCCCCCATGGTGCGGACAGGAAGACGACAGTAAACTGTACGTCTGACCTTACTGAACTGAAAACCACACAGCGGCGCTCAAGAATAGCTGTCGGTATTATATCTAATTCTTTTCAAACGGGGCAAGTTCCCCGGTTGCTTCAGCCCTTCCAGGGCCCAAGAACTGGGTCACATTCCTCCTTGGTGTGGGCTCCGGTGGAGACGCCAGTTGACACATGGGCTGCAGCTACCCAGGACCTGTCTGATCTTCCGCTGTACCCATGTAACCCCCTTTGTTACCTGAAATGACCCTTCTGGGATCCGCAGAAGGGACTAGGCAATGGTACCAGAGCTAGAAGAATCAGCACAACTGTAAGAGGGTCGGCAAGGTGGGCATCCCCAGTTAAAAGGACCGGGGGTCTCAGGTGATGACGAAGGCGGCCTCAACCAGAGATCCGTCAGGGCAGACAAGACTGACCTTGATAGACCAAGGGTCTGGATTAAACAGAGGGGGGCTGTGTCTGTACCTAAAGAAGAGTACACATCTAGTGTTCCCTTAAAATGAGTTTCGTTACCAAAAAAAGAGACCAAGAGCCTTATTACAGTATGCACAAAAACCCCTTGGGTTGTCCGGCTGACCCACAACAGTAGAGATCGGCGATGCCACCTTTCTGCAAAGGGACAGAGGTCTAGGAAACATGGGGGAGGGGATTCTTCCTATGAGTTAGCAGGACGACACAGATATCCAACTGGCCGAGGAGCGACCTTGCAGGGTTACTACCTGGTTGTCAGCAGGGGTCTCCAACGCGACGCCCGTGGGCACCACAGTGCCCACCAAGAGTTAATAGAAAGTGGGTGGGGCATCTAGGGTCAAGGATGCTCCTTGGATCCGCCGGCACCAGAACCGAGAACCTGAGACAACCCCGTTCAAATTACAAGGCCGGCCACAGTTGTCTAGAATAGGGCGCGCTCGGCCTCGTTTTTCCCCCAACTTAGAGGAATCGCTGGACATCTAGCTACCATTCGGAGGGGGCAAAATAAAAGGCGCTTGGTGGCTCAGACCCTTTTCCTTCCCACAAGCCTGAGAACCCCCTCCCCTTTTCTTTATGCTAAACAGTCCGGCCTTCACTCTCTTCTTGACAAGTCCGCTCTACCGACACAAATCGCATTTCACACTCCTCATCCCCCAAGCTTCTTGAGAAAGTAAAAGAGGACAAGGGGGTGGGGTGGGGGAGAGGAGTGGGAAGAATAAACAGGCATGGGGCAGGAGGGGGGGAGATCATTAATCCCGTCCGCTGAGAATGCGGGAGAGTTGGTTACAGAGTTAAGTGGCTCACGGGCACGCTGACCGAAGGGAAAACCTTCCCCAGGAGGATTTCTCTGCAGGTTTCCTTTCTCAGGGCACCCGGCCAACAGTGCATGACTTCTCTCCGCTGAAACGATTGCACTTCTAACTGTCCGCCTCTCACAAAAGTGATAAGCCAGATTTTTAAAACAAACCCCCCCCCCTCCTATAAGTTCGAAGACTTATGCACTACTGTGAGCAAAATTTCTACTTTGTGAGCTACAGGCATTCATGTTGTGAGCGAGCGATTTGGCTCCGGAGCCATCCTTCCTGAGCGAGGGCAAAACCGCTTGAGCCGGAGGTTTAAAAAACTGTGAACTAGCTCACACTAGGTCAGCTTAGAGGGAACGCTGGACTCTGCAGCACTCGAGCCAAGATGTGGGCCAGATGCTAAGAGCTCTAAAGAGCATGGCCGCGATTGACTTCTGGCAGAACGACGGTGGTGTGCTGGCAGCCGCCAAAGTCAAAATTGGCAGGCAGGTCTCCGGAGACAGTTGCGTAGCTTGGGTAACAGATCTTCGCCGCCAAGTGCGTGCCCGTTTCAGACCTGAGACGGAGCTCTTCGGCAGGCAGAACGGGAAGGAAGCGGGGAGGTAAGAACCTCAGGGAAGAGTTCTGTGCCCCTCTGTCAAGACCCACCGGGCATCAGACCAACAGAGGCCAATGGCGACAGCAGTTTTCAAAAGAGCTTGCTCTCTCCCCTCATATTCTTAAGTCTAAATTTTGCAAAGGGAATAAAGGTCTTAAGAATACATTTTGGGTGCCTTTGGGGAGGCGGGACGAGTCCAGATCCATGCCGCCACCAACCCCGTTTTTCCCCCAATTCAGTCCTGGATTCCCGGCTTCCAAGGGCAGAGCTGGCTTGTTGGGGAAGTAAAAACCAACTCCTCTGCCCACGCACAGAGTGCTTTCCCCTTCGTCCTCAGCACCACCCTTCCCTCCTCCAAGTGTCCAAGACGCACACCTCTGCCTGTGATGGGGAGGGGGGCACAGACCCAAGTCCCATGGCCTCCCCCCAAAAAAAACAAACCCCTCCCGTCCAGATCTAGGGGTAGAGCAAAAAAAAAAAGGCACCACAACAAGGTGTGGGCTCGCGTTGGTGGAACGTGGCTCACTTTCCCTCCCCGGGGGTCAAGGGCGGAGCCGGCCCGGATCCAGACGGCGGGCTTGCCGGCACTCGCCCGCCTCAATCCCTCCCGCTGGTTAGCGCTCCCCTGGCACGGGCGGGCATCGTGCGCCACACGCCCCTTCGCCCCAGGCCTCCCGGATGGGTGCTAACGAGTCGCGGGGCGGCGCTGCCTCGCGTCCACCCCGGAGCACATCATGCTCAGTGCACTGCCTTGCAACTCCTCCAGAAGCAACCCGCGCCGCCGAACATGTGCAGAGCGCCTTTCGGCCGCGGCTGACGGAACACACTTCGCAGTGGCCACATCCGCACGATGCGCAACGCCCGCCTTCTCTACAAAGATGCTCCTGCCCATGTGCAGAGGACCTTTCTTCCGCCGCAACCGCCGCGCACCGAGTTGCAAACAAGGAACTACGAGCAACGCCCACTCCCCCCAAAGGCACCCCAGAACACGGGCAGAGCATCTTCCCGCCGCGCATTTTTTCAGTCGCAAAGGCCCAGCCTGAAACGACGCATAACGCCCGCCCTCTGTAAAAAGTGCTCCAGCCCATGCGCAGAGTGCTTTCCCTTCAGCCCCGCAATCCTGCGATTTAAGATGGGTGGCCGCTGATGGAATACATTTTCCAGTTGCAAAGGCCCAGCCTGAAACGACGCGCAATGCCCGCCCTCTTTAAGAAGTGCTCCAGCCCATGCGCAGAGTGCTTTCCCTTCAGCCCCGCAATCCTGCGATTTAAGATTGTGGCCGCTGATGGAATACATTTTTCAGTTGCAAAGGCCCAGCCTGAAACGACGTGCAACGCCCGCCCTCTTTCAAAAGTGCTCCAGCCCATGCGCAGAGTGCTTTCCCTTCAGCCCCGCAATCCTGCGACTTACGAGCGGTGGCCGCCGATGGAATACATTTTTCAGCTGCAAGGGCCGACGCTGGACCTACGCGCGACGCCCACCCTCTTTTAAAAAGTGCTCCAGCCCGTGTGCAGAGTGCTTTATCTCCACCCCCCCAGCGAGCATGCCCCCCGACGTCGCCTCCTCCTCCTCCGCCCTTACCGAGTCCTTGTCGCGGGCGATCCAGGTGTCCAGCAAGAGCTCCAGCCGGGCCTTGTGGAACTTCTTGGTGGTCTTGACGGCGATGAAGACGTCCCGGGGCGCGATCTCCTCCACCGGCCGCCGGGGGGCCGCCGCCGCCTCCTCGTCCTCGGCCCGCGCCCCCCGCTTGCTCCGGCTCAGCTGGCTGAAGTAGGCGCCGAAGCCGCCCGCCGGCTCCCCGCCCAGGCGCAGCCCCTGCCGCTTCTGCGGGTCGGCCACCAGCATCAGCAGGCAGGTCAGCATGGAGCCCACCAGGGAGAGGAGCAGCTTCTTCCCGCAGCTCTTCAACATCGCCCGCGGCAGACCCGGGTCGAGCAACGCACGTCGGGATGCGCCTCGCCTCCCTCCCTCCGTCCGCCGCCACCACCGCCCGCCAGACGCCGCTTTCCGCGCCGCTCGGCTCCGCACCGGTTTTAAAACTTGCCTCTCCCCGCCCACAGGCTCCGGCTCTGCGAGCTGATTGCCTGGGAAGGGGCGCGGCTTGCGCGGGCCACGCCCCCTGGAGGGGGGAGAGGGGGCGGCCCTAGAGCGCGGGGGGGCGGGGCCTCCGGGCACAATCCGGCCGCGGGTCGCCCACGTGGCTCGGCTCGGCGGGGGGAGGGCGGGGGAGCAGAGGGGAGTCGCTCCGCCTCCGCTTGGGGCGCACAGCCGCCCAGATGCGCGGGGCTGGCACGTGTGGACGCGCCTCGGGCCAGGGGCTGCGCGTCAGCGGGCAGCGATGCTCCCTCTAAGCCGTTCAGTGCCGGATTTACGCATAAGCTCAGTAAGCTACAGCTTAGGGCCTCGCAATTTGCTGGGGCCTCGAATAAAAACACAATATGAAAAATGATTTCCGATATTAAAAAGGCGTATATATTTTAAATTTTCCTGAGACCAGCTGATGTAATTTAAAACAGCAGGGGGCCTCTGGGTTTTGTATAGCTTAGGGCCTCAGCAAGTCTGAATCCGGCCCTGCGTGGAGTCCTGTGAGCAAAAAGTCCACTTTGTGAGCCGCTGGCATTAAAGTTGCGAGCGCGCGCTTTGGATTAAAGTTGCGAGCGCGCGATTTGGCCGCCGCATGAATCGGTTTGCTCTGGAGCCCCATCCCTTCCCTCACTAAGGAGCCAGAGGCTCAAAAACTGTGAGCTAGCTCACACTAACTCGGCTTAGAGGGAACATTGGCCTGGCAGTTTCGCCCTGTTCTCTGCCGCGGGAGGGTTCTCTGACTTAGAGGCGCTGGGGGGGGGGGGAAACGGGGGTCCAGGGGGGGCC